ACACCATGTTCCCACAGCAGGCACATCAAAACCAGCTTAGGCTGAACAGCTGCACCTCCCATGAAGGGCTGCACCACCAAAAGAGTGTCCTGAGCCCTTCTGCAGGTGCATGGGGTGCAATCATCCTGCAGGACAGTGAGAACAGAGGCCCAGGCAGGCACATCCCACATCCAGGCTGTAAATCCTGCCACATCTGCACCAAATATCACAAGATGAAATGTGACTGTGGGTGGCTTTTATTGCTCAGTCACCAGGCTGGCATCTCTACACCAACATGGTTCTCACCCTGCCCACACTGCGGGGTGGTGGAGCAGCTCCCCAGAGATGCCAGCAGCAATATGGTCACACCACATGGACTTGGGTACATGGGTTTGGTTTGGTGTTTGTTCTGGGTTTGTTTTTTTCCTGCTCACTGGCACTGCTGGAGAACATCCTAGGTGCAAATTTTAGTGGGATACTGGAAGAAAAACGGCTCCAGCAGATGCCCTAATTCAGAGCAGATCTCTCAGCAGATCCAGGAACAATAAAGATTGGCAGCCTTGACCAAAAGTTGCATTTCTGAAAGTGTTTTTGGGCAGGCTGGGAGGACACTTGCCTCCTTCCTGAGTTTTCCACACATGCTTTTCAAGTTTCAGCCCTACCCCTGCACAAGGATCTGGCATTCATTTACAAGAAAGTAACAGATTGTAAGAAAAGTCCTTTTTCTTCCCTACCAGATGACTCTGCAGTAGAGGAGACTAAAATCCCATATTCCTCCTGCCTCCCTGTTCCCTGACACCTAGTACTCAATTCAACTGGGAACTTCACAGAATCCCAGAATCCCAGGGGTTGGAAGGGACCTGGAAAGCTCCCCCAGCCCAGCCCCCCTGCCAGAGCAGGGGCACCCAGAGCACATCACACAGGAACGTGGCCAGGGGGGTTGGAATGTCTCCAGAGAAGGAGACTCCACAGCCTCTCTGGGCAGCCTGGCCCAGGGCTCTGGCACTCTCACAGCAAAGAAGTTCTTCCTGAGATTCCCATGGAACCTCCTGGGCTCCAGTTTGCACCCACTGCCCCTTGTCCTGTCACTGGACATCACTGCACAAAGCCTGGCTCTGTCCTCCTGACACTGCCCTGAACAGATTTGTGCCCATGGATGAGGTGGCCCCTCAGTCTCCTCTTCTCCAAGCCCAACAGACCCAGCTCCCTCAGCCTTTCCTCAGCAGGGAGATGTTCCCCTCCCTTCAGCATCTCTGTGGCTCTGCCCTGGACTTATGCTTTTCCAGCAAAAAGAAACTCCAAACAAACACCAAACCTCACTACTTTAATACTGTTGCAGAGTCACCAGGAAAACAAAGAAGGTGTGTAGGGATGGCAGTGAGATTATCATCTGCTCTACGGTTTCTACTGCAGTCACAGACTGTGAAATACATGGAGCTCAAACTCCATTCTGCTTTCAAGGGCTGAGGCTGGGAGTAAATAAAACCAAACCAAAATCAACAGAACATTTTTACCTGAAAACTCAACAGCCACCATCTGAAGTAGTTCATCTGGAGTGAGTTTACTTCAAGACTTGGTCACTGACTCTGGTTGGACACCCACAAGGGTGCTGGCTCCATGGGGTGCTGCAGCTGTGTCAGTTCCTACACAAGCCTGTGTGGCTGAGCAGAGCCCTGGCAGGACAGGAAGGTCCATGGGAGGGTCAACCTGGGACACCTGAGAGCAGCAAGATGCTGGGGAAGAGAATGGGTTGAAGAAGCTGGGGTTTAAATTAGGCTGATGCCCAGAGGAGTGTGATAGCTCCTGTCTTCAGTGCTCTGACTGGAGTCACTGGAGCACTGAACTCCCATAGCAACCCCCACAGCAGCTGGAGCAATAGGAGCTCCCTCTGTGCCAGCAAGTGCAGGTGGGATTCATCTGCCTTCCTCTGATGGCTGCAAGACCCAGCTCCCCTGGCTCCCCTCTGGCTGGAAAGGGGAGGAGATGCCTACAGCCCATCCAGTGAACATCCATGTAGAGGTGCTGGTGTCTCCCAGGTGCCTCTACATGGAATTGAAGGCAACTACTTCAGGATAAAATGTCTAACCTCTAGCTATCTGAAGTCAGATGAGATTAGTCCTGAAGTCTGTCTCACTGTGGAGACTTTCTATGGCCTCAAGACTCTGGAATCCTTCCTACATCATCATGGCAGCCTGACAGTGAAGTCTTTTACCATGGTTTGAAGAACATACTGTGTAGTGATTTTATAGACTTAAATGCCAGGCAGTGATGCATTGCCCAATGGAGTGTCATAGAAGAATCATAAATCACAATCTTGCAGGAGCTTGTGGATGTCAGACATGTGAATATGCTGATTTGGTATCCATGGTAGTTTGGCATGTCTCACATCTTTGTCTTCTGCCCAAAATAGACTGGCTCTTAACTATTGCTCAGCACTTGGAGTTCTGCCACAGCACAGAAGACAGTTGAGAAAACACCCAAAATGTGCAAAGAAATATTGAGATCAACTTCATTGGCTTTGTTCACTCTAAAAGCAGAACCCTCTTCCTTGGAGGTGTAACAACAATGCAGGGGGAGGGTATCAGGCTACTTGAGGTGGAGATTTCAACACATGAACTGGAACTGAAATGGGACAATATCTGAGGATGAAGCTGCTCAGCTAAAGCTCAGCACTGCAACCCTGGCTGGAACACTCATCTCTCCTGTCCACATGTACAGTTTCCAGTTCACACTGAACACAGGAAACCTCAGCATGTCATATTTCCAGAAATCATCCAACTACATTGAGCACAACCCTAATGCTAGAGCCCCCCAGTCATTTGGTGCATCCCAAGTCCCTGCTTCCACTGTACAAAGAAGCAATCAAATCCTATCACAGACAAAGACAAATCTACACATTTGCAAGACCAAACCAGGGAGTTTGTCTGCAGAATGTGTGATGTTAATCACTTGCACCAGTCACGGGTGGGCGTGTGAATTTACCAGGAAGAAGTTAGAAGTGAACAGGATGGTGCTGTTCAAATACAAGGTGCATTTGCAGGTAGCTGGAAAAGAAATTCAAATGTAAATCCATTCTTTTTATGTCCAGAAGCAGCCAACACATCGTTTCCTTTCTTCTGATCATAAAAGCCTTTTTTTCTTCACTCTGGAAAGCACCACCCTGTCTGATGGCTGTTGGAAGGGCTGGTACACAAAGACTCCCACTGCCCATTCTCCCACCTTCCCAGGGGTAGGAAATGTGCTCTGTGGGGCTCCCAGGAAAGGCAGTGGGAAAGGGTGTGCAAACCACTGGCCTCAAACAGAGAAAGGAGCCCCTGAGACCCTTCAGTTAAAGAAGGAAAGTTGGTTTTAGTCTTATCTGGGAAGGACCTGGGAAAAGTATATGGCATGGAAAGCTGCTGGAAGAGAATTGAAGTGTCTGAGACAAAGGGACAGGTTTTACATCCCTGCCCAGGGTTACCCACGTGCTTGATGAAGGCTACCAGGAGACACCCCTCTGTGGACCACACCTCTAACTGGGACACACTTGCTACCTCACCCTAAAGAGACTGCCAGGCCTGCTGTGATGCCACATGACTGTACAACTCCTTTGGGATGGGGAGGAGAAAGGAAGACCTTGTGTGAAATGCCATCCATGAGTCCTTCCTTGGACCATTTCAGTTCCCAGCCCACCTGAAGGTTCATGGTGGTTTTCTCTGCTCTCCTTCCACCAGTGCAGTGCCAGGCTGGAATTGCAGAGCATTGGATTACAAGTCCCACGGGTGCTGCCTCAGCCTCAGTAAACTTTATTTAAGCACACACAGACATACACAGACAATATACATATATTTGTTTCTTCTCTGACAGTTCTACAAGGACCAACACTGCTTTGGATGACACTCCTGGAGAATTTGAAAAAGTGCAGGAAATGGAGGAGAAAAAAATAAAAAAAAAGAAAGATCTTTTAATCATTTGTGAGTCTTGGTCATCCAGAGAAACAACACAGGTGCATTCAGCCAGGTGAGCACATGGACACAGCTCCACATACAGTACATTGTGTCTATATAGGTTATCTCCACATACATAGTGTCTATAGAAATGTACAACAGTCTCAGAAGCCAGCAGGACACAGGACCAGACAAGTACTGGCACAGCACAGGTTTGCACTCCCAGTGTCACCACCACCCACTGCCAGGGCACCCAGTGTGACTGGGTCAGGGTGTGGGTGTCAACAGAAAGATGCTCCAAACATAGTCTCACTGTACACTAGAAAAACTCACCAAACAGGCAACAACGTCATCAAATGGAACATTCAGCTGGGGTTCTGGTGACCAGGAGTCAGATCTCACAGCTCTGGTGTCACCACAACTCCTGGGATATATGGTTACTTATCTAATATAGCTACAACTGTCTCTCAACATATATTTTATATACAGTACATATACACAGAACATACACAGAGCAATATATGTATATTTTTGTGGTTTCATGTTTGTACATTATATCACAGATCATATGAACACAGAAAAGATATATTTTAAGACCTAAAAAGAAATTATTTTATAAAATATTCATAATACTCCCCCCCAAAAAAAAAACCAAAAAAACAAAACCCAACCAACCAAAAAGCTCCAAAGTCAAACAAAAAGAAATCCAGAAACACACTCTTGAAGTGTGGACTGCCTGCCCTGGGACAGCATCAACACTGCTCCCCCTTCCCTTTAGAAGTGCAGCAGCACACAGGTGGGTTGCAACCATGCAGCCAGGACACCAGAAAGCAGGATCAATTGTTGGGCTGCAAAGGCAGAGCAGAGCCCAGAGCTGGGCTGTCCAGCTCCACCCTCTCTCCCCACCTCCCTCACCAGGAGGTTCTGCCAGGAGCACAGTATTTTACCTGCAGCAACATCAGCATCCACTACATCTCCTGCCTGCAGTCCAATACTGTTCCCTCATAGCACTTAGAACCCAGCTTCTGAGTTAGACCTTTTTTTTCCTTAAAACAATCTGGTTTTTTACTTAGCAAAAAATGGTTTCCACTGTACCCTTCGTGTGTCCTCTTCCTAATGTGACAAAGCCAGAGGAGATGAAATTATGGAGATCTGGCCCTCCACTTCGATAAATATCCTTTCCATAGGGTCCTGCCAAGGAAGAGAAAACAAAGAAACTTATTCAGTGTATGTGTATGCATATACATATATATATGTGTACATAGATATGCCAGACAGCCCCACTGTCACCCTCATATAGGAGCATCAAGGCCACCCTACATGGTGACACCCTAAGCAGAGGGTAGAACAGAACAGCATCAAAGCCTCATTGCTTTATTGACAAGGATTTATGAAGAACAACAACTGCATATTTTGAGAAGTGCCAAGGAAGGAGGAGACTCTGATAGGGGAACGTGCCAAACCAAACACCCCAAGCTCCAGGAAATGTGCTTATGGCTTGGATTCAGGTTTGGTAGGAGCAGCACCACCAGGGAACTGGTGTCACTCAGACCTTCAAAGGCTGAGGAGTTAAAGGAGAAGGGATATGGCTTGGATTCTTCCCAATTCCAGCCAGACCCCTGGCAACATTCATGTCCCCTTGGCAGAGATGTTATCTCAGCACAAAAGCAAAGGTGCAAATATCACTCTTGTGCAGGCTGGACTGAGGGAGGTGAGGTTGTTCAGCTTGAAGAAAAGACTCTGGGGGGACCTCAGAGCACCTTCCAGTGCCTGCAGGGGGTCTGTGAGAAGGCTGGGGAAGAGCTGCTCACAAGGGCAGGTAACAACAAGACAAGGGGTAATGGTTTCAAGCTAGAAAAGGGTAGATTGAGGTTGGACATTAGGAAACATTCTTTACACTGAGGGTGGTGGGTCACGGGAACAGGCTGCCTAGATTGGTGATAGAGGCCCCATCCCTGGAGACATTCAAGGTCAGGCTTGATGGGGCTCTGAGCAACCTGCTCTAGTTGGAGATGTCCCTGCTTCTTGTAGGGGTTTGGACTAGATGACCTCTAGATGTCCCTTCCAAGCCAAGACATTCCATGATTCTATGACACAAAACTTTGTCTTTTAGCTTGGATTTGCTTTGGTCCTTGCATGGCATCCCTGGATAGTTTCTGAAGTGCAACAGCCTTCTGCATGATGCTTCCTAGGAGCTTCTCAGTCCATGACAACAGAGCAGGTTCAGAAGACACCCAGCTTTTTATTATTTTAATATATGAATAAAGAGCATCTGCCTCCCTGTTACCATGCAAAGCTCTGAAATGAGGACAGAGATAATTTTTCAGATACTCTCTATAATCTCCTCCCCTTTTCATGTTGTTAATTTTCCTCTTCCTTTTTATTTTAGAAAGAGGCAAAGATAAGATAGGTGAGGGGGGAGGGAAGCAAGGCAGCCTCAGGGGCTGAGAATGCAGCTTCTTCACTGCTAGCTCTCCGTCCTCCCCATGCCTTCCTGCACGAGCTTGTGATGTGTCAGTGCTCTCCTGAGCCCTGGTGGCTGGATGGCCAGCAGGGCAGATGGTCCAGCACACGGTTCTCAAGCAGGAGAGCTGAGTCAGGAAAGGGCCAAACAGGATCCAGGTGGAAATGCAGCCCAGGGCCATGTTCTGCCTGGCTCATGTTGCCTCTGACAGATGCTACAGCCCTTTACTATGTCACAACCACTGAGAGCAAATGCCATTTGCTCTCCTACACTTTCAGGCTCTCTGGCAACACTGTGAAAACTACTAGGAAAAGAGACTTTGAAATCTCATCAGTTTGCAAAGTTTTCCTCTTTCCTTTTTAGCCAGTAATTCTCACCCCAGTATCCCAGCAGCTACTACTCATTTGGCAGGTCTCTACTCCTGGCACCAGAGCCCACCTTGCATGACAGTTGGTCGAGGGTAAGGTCTAAATTGTCCCCAAACGTCCTGCCCTGCAGTGGATCTGAGCAGACTCCAAACCTGCTCTCCATTCAGGGAGGACACACCAGCAACAGTCTGGCCAGGAGAGCCCAGCACAGGCTTTACCACCACATGAGCATGTTGAAGCTCCTCAGAAGAGGCTCACAGATGGCAGGGAGAAGCTGCTGAGACTTCTGACAAATGTTTATTCCCATCTAATAGAAGAAGCATCCCACTCCCTTCCCTCACATCTTTTTTTCTGGTCAAGGTCAAGTGCTCCCTGTAACCTTCTCAAAACACATTGAAAGTGTTTCTACAGGTTTGGGAGTGTGAGCAGCAAGACAGTTTTCTTGTTACAGTTATAGGAATGGAAGGTGGTAGCAAAAACCTTCCAACGTGGGGGCACCCACCCAGCAATTGGCTGGGAAGGGAGTTCCCAGAAAAAAAAGGAAGAAGGATTTTTTTGTTGCTTCAGAAGAAATCAGGAGCTCTTGCTCTCTTCTTCCTACTCAGCTCTTGCAAGCTCTGGCTGCTGTGTTCCTGGAAAAGGGAGGGAGGGCCTCTGAGTCCCTAGAACCTGTTCTTGCTTAATGAGACATTTGCTCTTGTTCTGAGAAGAGCAAAGGTTTGTGGCTGCAGTGCCCAATTTCCTCCCTCCTTCCCTATCACTTTTCTAAAATATGCTGCATTTTTCTTTCCAGTAAGCCAGTTTTTCCTCATATACCATCAATTTCTATGCTCTCAGGGCCAGCTACTCTGGTAACTGAAACTCTACCAGTGCCATAAATTTGCCATTTTAAACAAGGATTAAAAAAAAAAACCACCCCACAAATGTGCTATTACCTCTAGCTGAAATCAGCTGTCTTTTATATGTCCCTTTGGAGAATCTGCTCAAGACAGAGATCAAGAAGGGGAAATACAGGGGAAAAAAAGCAAACATTTCCTGGCAGATTGAAGATCATTTATCAGCCATTTGCTCTCTGAACCCTGCTCTGCTCCTTCTTATAGTACCTAGTTGTTAAATTAAAACCTTCCTGTGGTAACAACCCATTAGCATTTGAACAGGAGTTATGTTTTCCCATGAGAAACTTGAATTTGTAGACTTCAAGTAGTGGGAGTTTTCCCTTTTTATGGCTACATTACAGGATGCTACCTTTGTTCTGTATGGGGTTTTTTTTAAAACTCCTGTTCACTTGTGATCATTTCTCTTGGCTTCCTAGTATAAAAATGCTGGTAAATGGCTTTTACTTTTAGAAGTGCCCTGGGGGCTGCTGGGGGGCCAAGCTCAGGTGATGTTCTTCAAACAGACTTTTTTTCATCATGTTGATGAGAAGCTCAACATGAGCTGGTAAAAACCAAGCATGTCCTGGGCTGCAACCCCAGCAGAGCCAGGGAGGGGACTGTCTCTCTCTGTTCCACTCTGGTGAGACCCCCCTGCAGTGCTGAGGTCTCCAGCAGAAGAAGGACATGGAGATGCTGGACTGGGACCAGAGGAGACCACAGAGATGCTGGGAGGGCTGGAGCAGCTCTGCTCTGGAGCCAGGCTGGGAGAGTTGGGGTGTTCAGCCTGGAGAAGAGAAGGCTCCAGGGAGACCTTAGAGCACCTTCCAGTGCCTGAAGGGGCTCCAGGAAAGCTGGGGAGGGACTTGGGACAAGGGCAGGGAGTGAGAGGACAATGGGGAATGGATTAAAACTGGGAGAGGGGAGACTGCGGTGAGACATGAGGAGGAAATTCTTTCCTGTGAGGGTGGTGAGACCCTAGGACTCCAGGTGAGGCCTCCCCAGGGCAGAGGAGAGGGGCAGGAGAACCTCCCTGACCTGCTGGCCACACTCTTCTTGATGCCCCCCAGGGTGGCATTGGCCCTCTTGGCTGCCAGGGCACAGGTGACCCTGTGAAATTAGCTGCCATCTCCCTTTTCTTTCCTGTCCTATCCAGCTCACATGCCTTAACTTCCTCTGAGGTTGCTGGTAGCCTGGTAAAATCACACCAGTGTCACCACTGGAGCAGCCCTGGAGAAGGAACATCCCCTCCCCACATCCCTGGTCCCTGCTGGGACAGGAGCTGCTGTGCTCAGGAGGGGCTGGGAATGGGATGTTCCTCCCTGGAGCTGGGCTGGATGTGATGTAGCCCAGCAGCCTCCCCAGTCCAGAGCAGAGCAACCCCAGAACAAAGCAACCTCAGAGCAAAGCAACCCCCAGAGCAGAGCAACCCCCCGAGCAAAGCAACCCCAGAGCAAAGCAATCCCTATAGCAAAGCAACCCCAGAGCAAAGCAATCCCTATAGCAAAGCAACCCCAGAGCAAAGCAACCCCTATAGCAAAGCAACCCCAGAGCAAAGCAATCCCTATAGCAAAGCAACCCCAGAGCAGAGCAACCTCAGAGCAAAGCAACCCCAGAACAAAGCAACCTCAGAGCAAAGCAACCCCAGAGCAAAGCAACCCCTATAGCAAAGCAACCCCAGAGCAGAGCAACCCCTGCCCACCCAGCCCTGGGGCACCCAACATGCTGTCTTTGAATGCAACGTTCCTCTCGAGAATTTTGCACCTCTGGGGTCTGTTTCTCACAGTTAAGATACGATTGAAAATGCTGCTTCCCAGCACCGTGCCTGACTCCCTGGAAGAGGCTTTCCCTGCTCCCTTGCTCCCTGCTCCTGCTCACACCCCCATCCTTTCATGACACTCATGTAAACCCTCCAACACACACAGGCTCCCAGGCTTGTTCATGACAAGAAATGCACAGGACTTCAGCAAGGCTCAGTGTTGCTAAAGCAAAGAAAGACTTACACAACTTAACCTTTCCAGAAGAAATTGAAAGGAGGTGAAAACAGGACTTTCTTACTCCCTTCCCTTCGTTTGGGAGGCAGAGAGCAGCTGAGTGATTTGCCTACCACACAATAAAGGCATATTCTTTAGGGCATGAAGCTCAAAGAGGGAACATTTCATTACAATGCCATCCTGCATCACACACATATGGAACAAACTCAGCCACAAACAGCAATTACAACCTCGGCTCTGATTTAACAGAATTATTAGAGCTGAACTAAAATGCTCTTATCCACCTCTTGGAAACATTCTTCCTGAGTACAGATTACATCACCCCAGAAGGGCAGGCAGGGACTGTCATGGACAGGGTACACTCTGGGATTCTGACCTCATCCTTGCCACAAATTTGCTTGGATTAAAAAAAAACCCAGAGAGGAGTCCCCACATCCAACATCCTTGGCATAAACGTTATTCTCAGACAGATCTCTGGGCGGGGGGAAAACAA